TCCCATATCAGGGTTTTTTAACACCACAGTGATGGGAGGTCTGCTCTGTAATAAAAGACGGGACAGGAGCTATTTCTAGTCTCCCATTCTGGACAATTGGCCTTTGACTTTGTCTCGAACAGTCACACCTCATTACCACATTTAGGGTAGAAGGATAGAATAGAGGGGACAGATGTGGGCATGAGGAAAATGGTGGATGCAGAAAAGAGGACAGGAACACAGGGAGGTAACAATAACATGCAATTTCAGGCTTCATTGTAATTCCGCTCTCATCTCAGTCCCAAGTGACGAGCAGCGAGCCGCCTAGGATTCTAATCATTCCTGTTGTCAGATGGCTAGCCCAAGTGAGATTGAGTTGATTGCTTGAACAAATTTGCAAAGTAACGATGCAATTTGCTTCAGTATACCATGGGAGCATTTGGGCCATCAAATTGGGTCTGTGGAGAGACTCGCAGGAGACCAGGCTGGAAGTTGTCTTCTTAGAGAGGCTTGTCTGCAAGCAAATTAATCTCACTGTTAATCATTACACCTGCAAGGCAATATTTTCATATCTATGTGAATTCGGTTTGATTGCAGCAACACGGAGCTAAAGTGAGTTAAAGGAATTGTTTGGACATTCTGGGGAATATGTTTATTTGTTTTATTGCCAAGAGTTAGATGAGTCCCAGATTCAGTCATCGCAATGCTGTGTTACAAAGTAAAGCCTGGTATTGGCTGATCATAATGCTGTGGTGCAGCAAACTACAGTGCACAACAAAACTGAATACACCCCTGGTAAGTATCACTAAAATGCTAAGTAATTACAAATCATGCCTCTTTAATTAGTTTTATTCTTTCGTTTTTCTTTTTCTTTTTTTTTTTAGCATAGCCCAAGAAGAATGAAGTCAATTAATTTCGAAAAGCAGAAATGTCTGATTTATCTTCTAATGAAAGTTCCATATTTAACACCCAATTACAGCAAAAGTCAGTACAAACTGCACTGGTGAGATTTCAGTCATTTATTTTTTTAATATGTTGAATGTCTGTCTTTATTTTTGATGGCAGGTTCAATCCTCCTGGTCATGGAAGACAGTCTTACACAAATCTGTGGGGAGAAGTTGCTGTTTGCTGGAGAGGTTTGGTTGCTTTACCTGCACCTTTAAAACAATAGATCAAAATCCACAGGACCGTGGATCCACAGGATCCACAGGCTAGGTGCAGTGACATAGACATTTTTTTTTTTACCTTTGGACAGAGACAAGCTAACTGTTTCCCTGTTTCCATGCCAAGCAAAGCTAACAAGCAGCCTGCTGTAGCTTCACATTGATTAGTATCAGTCTTCTCATCTAACTCTCGGCAAGAAAGCGAATAAGCCCGTTTCCCTAAATGCCAAACTACTCCCTTAAGAACTCAGAAGATGAATGTGAAATGGTTTATTATGTGACCGCCTGTAAATGAGAAGACACTCAAAACACTGTGTCTGTAACAACCTCTGTGTCTCTGTTGGACTGTTTCATCCATATGAATAATGAGACATGTCATTTTCCACTACATAAGTCCACTCATTGAACATTACTGCCTGACAAACCCCAATCACACAGTATGAATATGAATTGGTTGCTGTCTGTCAAATGAAATCTAAAGATTAAAGATCCTAGCGACATGGTAAATGTAAAGGCCATTCATTTCTAGTGTGAAAGCTGCTATTGTTCATAGCAATTATTCTATTATGAAATTTGACACATTTTAATAAAAATGACTTATTGGAGGTGGGATAGAAGAGGCCAAGGTGCACCAGAAAAGTATATTAGTCTTGGAACAAAAGAACATGTCAGTAAGTCCTACTGAGATTTCCACAGCAGAGTCACAGGCATCTTCATTCATGCATTCCTGGGACAAAATTTAAAATGATTCATTTAAAAGCAACTGATAGGATCAGTGGAGTATTTGTACATTTTGCCCACAATGTAACTCTTTCGTTTCTCTTTCAACAATTCAATTAAAAGAATCTGATATTCCCAATCTAGCAAAAGATTCAAGTTGTTCCATAACTTTGGAACAGCCTCAGGGAAGCTAAATCCGTGCGCATATTTTCAATACAGCTTTTCTTTGGCTTCTTTTCAGTCTCCTAATATGATTTCAAAATCACGTTTTGTGGTTTACTTTTATCGACCAACCCCGTAAAGCAATTTGTGAATACTGTTTAAGTGCTGTACTGTATAAATAAGGTGTGCTTGCTATTACAGCAGCCAGTCTGGGCAGAGCTGTAGACACTGACAACATAAGCTGGAAATTTCTAGTGGTGCAATATCACATAGTTCACTTCAATACAGTGTTGAGGCACCTTACACCTTAGCTGAGAATACAGCTACATTTTAGAAGCAATTTTACTTTTTAATTGAGACAACTGTACATAAACATATGATCAAAATATTATAAAATATGATTTTGTTATAGACTAAAAGACCCTAAAACTGGCCCTTTAACCAGCTATAGCATCAAAGATGTTACATATTATTGCTTCAGTATCAGTAATATATTGAAAATCCTTACAGGAGGATTTTTCTATACTATTAAGGACTTCTGATCATTTAAGAACATGTTGCTGATCACTGTTCTGTCTTGGGGCCTACGTATGGTTTAGGTTACAGTCTAGGCTAACACATCATATGCTGCATGAACAGCGCTTCCTGTCAGACCGGCATGTGTACTAAACTGTTACCGAACCACTACTGAGCTGCTGGACGACCACTGGAGAAATTATGATCCAGACACCAGTGGGCTGCAAAGCAGTCACTGTGCTATTTGGGATAGAATGAATTACTGAACATTTTGAGATTAGGCTGCCTAATCCCTGAACGAGTGGCTCAGGGAACTGATAGCGACTGTAGCAACATTTGCATCAGTATTGTCTGTCATTTATTCTCCATCACCTGCCATTCCATGTTTTTTTAATGTATCTCATTTTATTATAGATTTCATAGGTCCATGGATGCAGGAATACTCCCTGGAATGGAAGCATAAAACATTAACCTCTCCTTAAGCCTTTTTGTTTTGTTTTGTTTGTTTTTCCTGGTAGCTGATCCAAGTCTGCCTTCACACATCTGCTTGATTTGCGCTGTCCCTATCCTAAACCTAGCACTCGGTGGTGTCGTCCCTAATTACTGGGAAGTGCAAATCTCTGCAGAAGCCAGTGGAGGGCAAAAAAAAAAAAAAAAAAAAAAATCCGTTTGGGTAAAGCCTTGATTTGCGCTGTCCCTATCCTAAACCTAGCACTCGGTGGTGTCGTCCCTAATTACTGGGAAGCGCAAATCTCTGCAGAAGCCAGTGGAGGGCAAAAAAAAAAAAAAAGAAATCGTTATGGTTAAGCGCTGCTGAAATAAAGGCTGCAGAGGATGTGAGAATCGTTGTACAAAGACGTGTGTTCTTGCAATATGAATCAGTCAAAAAAAAAAGGCTGTGACCTGCAGGGATTTCCATCATCTCTCTCAAACCTTGATACCGGGTTGAAGACGTGCACCAGCTCCTTTCATCAAGCCTGAGATTGGTGATTAGATTGGAGAGGCCAGCAGAGGAGACAGAAGTCCTCTCATCCACACCGAGAAAAAGCAATGTTCCACAAGACTACACATTCATTACTCAGAATAAATCTCCATTAAACAAATGCCACATGCATAATTAGGATATAGGAATAATTATAATTGTGATTACTTTCTCCATGTGCCACACTATGTACACTGTGATTGACAGGTGGTAACGAAGTGCCTGCTGCTTTCACATTCATAATCCAAGAGGTACAAAACAGAAAAGAACCTCTATATGATCTTTATATATGGGGAAAAAAGGCAGAAAATGTATTACATTACACAAATAAAAGAGACTCATTTGTAGGTTATTAGATACACCTGCTAATACAGTCTAATAAATCAGCCCTGCAACAGACCATACATGGTTACATTGTTGTTTCCTCCTATTGATATAAATGAGATGGACTAAATATTAGAACCACACACACACTACAGCTCCCAAAATAACCACTATACACCTCTCTACATAGCACACAAGCACAAAACATCAATGCAAAGAGATTGTGCCAAGATTCAAAGGGTCATTTAATTGTCCCAATTCCATACTACACATATTTCATATAACCTATTGAGTATACTTTATACTGTTTTCACTGGGTTCATCTATGACACCAAATTGGTTTTAGCTAGGTGTCCCTAATAAATTGGCAACCTGGCGCAAATATGAGCTACAATGTTAAAATTCACACTCGTTGCACAAGTCAACTCCTGTACTATAAATATAAGCAAGATTTGCAGAAGCAGCAACTACTCTTTTAAATTAAACCACTGAAATGATGAAAACCCATGGTCACCTAAAACAGGCCACAGTATGACTGTGTTAATCTAGACAAAGAGAACTCACCCAGCACTGGGGCCCCAGCCTCTGTCTTTAAAAGGAAGTAATTTCAGGCAGAGCCTTGATCTGGCCGACAGTACCAGATCCTGCTGGCAGGGCCTTCCTGATATTTGAAATGGTGCAGCCCATTATTACCAGTCTGTGGCTGCGGACCCTACTTGATGTGCACATTTCATCTCCAAAACCATCTCTCAGGGAAACAATAACCAGCACTACCCATCCTTTTGAACCCACCAGGTGGAGACAGCAGTGCTGATATGAACTGAACAGGTGACTCGGGGTGGGGGTTGGTTGTGCTTGGCATTTTTGGTTCAAATTATTTTGCTTGTCTGTCAATACATATGGTAAAACCGGTGTCAGACAGTTTATTGCATATGCAAAAGGGCCAGACAGGTTGTATGCAGCTTCTTTTACATTTTAATGGAAAGGGTGGGAATGAGAGATAAAACCATTGACAGAAAATTATAACTCCATGCTTCCACACCCAGAAACCAAAGGGTACATTTTCAGGATCTAGGCCCATCCTTTCAAAACCAAACTGTTCACTGCAACACAACCAAGAAATTTCCCAAATTAAAAGATCACAAGATAAACAGTCATGATATGTTCACATTTATTGTGCAATGACCTTTATATACATACATTTTATACACCTAATTTACATGATAAATTAATCTGCTAATGTTCTTTAACTCATCTGGTTCTAGTGTAACCGCTGACTGGACACAGCAAACTCTGAAGGTGAAAAGCACAATAATTCCAAGTGACACGAATGACAAGGCAGTGAACTGAGTCAGTGTAGTCTAGTTTTCATTAGTGTTATATTTCATATAAAGAGGCAGTTGGTAAGAGCTTTAGTGTTTGACAACTTCAAAAATATATATAAAAAAAAAGACTCAAGCACTTAACATGAAGTTAATTTTAGCATGATATTATAATGGGCATAATTTAATCTATTCAGAAATTAGTCATAAATGTATTTTTTGTATAAATAATGCTGCATTTGTTATGCATGTCCATTTCTGTTCAGAATATTTGTAACCACCCTATTTCACAATGATGTCAAGGAGTAAACAACGTGTTGCATTCTGGGAGTTTTTAGGGGTCTCACAGGCAAAACAACCATTAAGACCACACTTAGTGGAGAGTACGATGTGAGAGGGGGCTTGTGTGACCACACAGAACGTCCAGACAACAACGTGCACTGCCCTATCTGGTGGGTCAAGTGTACGGGTTTTAGAACTTCAAACTCAAAAATCAAAAAAGCATTTTATTACAAGGCCAGTGATGTTAGAGACGACATGGCTTTAGTGCCTTAGTGTAGCTGCTGCTAGCTTAAATTGGCAGTTGTTTAGAGTTCCAGGCAGTTTGTGATAATATAGTGACAACATTTAGCTTGAAATATTATCTAAGGGATCTCACACTTTGTCATGGCATAATGAAGATAAGACTAACGCTACTTCATCTACCAACTATGTAACTGTTAAGCCGTTCTTTTTGCGTGGTACACAGCCGCAGCGGCCAGTGGACAACCATAACGTTAATACGGCATATTAAAAGAGATCTTGATATCATTGAGAATTCCTGAATGAATGAATAAAGTTCAACTAACAAACCAACTACAGTAGAGCCTGTTTAGGTATGATGGTATGATGGACATTGTTAATGAGTGGTTAAATTAACGTTACGGTTGTCAGTTCAGTACCACCACAGCTATGTCATTGTAAAACAAGACAATTCAACTGAGTGATACATTTGATCTGACACCATTCTAAATCTTAAGGTGACAGTATGTTTTTAATTTTAGACAGTTTTATCTCTATATAGTGGGGTCTGTTAGTCTGAGTTTGCTATCTAGCTACCGATGTCTCAGACAATGTGGCAAAACAAAAGCCCTACCAAGGCCAATTTTATCAGTGATGAAATAAATGTTCTTTTTAAAAAGCTTACAAACTGCATCTTTAATATTAGAAATGACTATTACTATTGTGCTACATACAGTATTGATTACTGACAGACACACAAAGGTAAAATACAACTTCGCTAATAAGTGTGTTCTTTATAAAAAGGAAATTTAACTAGCTAATGTTAAAATCATCCTAATTGTGTACATTGTAGTGTGTGGAAACAAAACAAAACAGACAAACAAAAGCATTAACTAGAGTGGTCAAGGGCCATAAAAGCCTAAATGTGGCCAAGGGAAAAAAAATAAAACAGCAAACCCCTGGAGAAAGGATCTCTTGGTTTCCCATATACGTAAATACAAACATTAACCTGCTCTCATGGGTTCAGCCTGAAGGAACTGACAGAAGCCTACTCCCTACAGCTAGCTTATGATAAACACTGACATTAATTAGAGTGACATGCGCCTATGTAACACGAAACAACACATCAACTCCAGCCTCCTTTTACCGTACAGAAACACAGAAAGAATTTACAGGATATACTGATGGGTCATAAGCACTAAACCGCTGCAAGCAGCAAGAACCCGAGGCTATCAAAACATGCAGCTTGTGGTGAGTTTCTACAGTACAATTCAGTAGTTTGTTGGTGGTAAACAATTGTGTGAAAACCCAGAGTTCGTAGCTCTTATTACTATTATTTCTGTTACAAGATAACGATTTTTTTAACATGGCTCTGTTGTTCCATTGGCCTCACACCCAATCTATTCAGACTCGCATTAAAGTGAACAAATAATCACATGGCAGCCATCTCATCACTACACCATACAGGAACATCTGATTATTGCACACTAGCACTGAACTTGCAAATGTTCATGCAGAATGAATGAGAAACACACTACACTCAAATCAGTGGTTGCTCACTATGTGACAGATGACCGTACAGTTCTTTGGAAGACTAAATGACAATATTTGGGAGGGTCAGAGGCATATAACTACGTGGCACACTACTGCGACTTCTACAGCGCCTATTACAACCTATGGTGGAAGAGTGATGTTTTATAAAACCAATAACAGGATGCGTGACACCATCTGATGACTGCATTACTGCATTTCTTCAGATAGTGCAAAAGGAGTGTTAGAGATGACCACTGCGTTGAGGAGAGAAAGAGATCGTTTCTGTGAGAGCATCTAGCAACAGCTTTTTCAAGCCAAGTCTAGCATCTCCATGTAAAACACATTACATCCATCTTCAACATTCAAAGCAATGTTTCTGTTAAAAGACAAAAATAGCTAAGATTCAGAAAAATCCCAGCATGAAGGCAGGGGTTCCTTTGTTTGGAGAAGAGTTTCAAACTGTTCTATAAAGTAAAAAGAAATAAATGGAATCTTTTCAGATACACATTTTCCCCACAAACTACTCCACACGACACTAGTGACCAGACAAGTGAAACGGTCATAAGGCGAAACTGTGGCAGAAGGATGAAAGAAGGAGGAGATGCGAGAGTGAGAAGGACCTGTTGTGACAGACTGTGGATCTGTTTTGCTCCAGCTCAAGGAGACTGGGAGCCTGACTTGTAGCCCTTAAAGCTGCCCAGCAGACTCTGCATCCCCTTCTTGACCCGTCGAGCCACAGAGTCAGCAGGAGGAGTGGGCAGGCAGGAGGCTAGGCTGGGCGGACGGGCATCCAGACATTTCTGGTAGCGAAGCTACAACAATGAAAATGCACAGAGAGCAAAAGTGGTGTATTATAGACTAGAATAAACACTGCCTGTGGATGTAAACCAGTGTGATTCAAACAAGCTTCTGACATTGCAACACAATGAAGTAAATCCGTTGCAGAATTAGAACACAATCATCCTGAGAAATAATTTGCAAATCATTTACAACATAAGCTTATCTCTGCAGCCTGTCATCCCATGTATCTGTTTAGGGCTCACCATGCAGGCAGCCTGTACGGCCTCACTCAGACTGGCAGCGTTGGGCTCACACCAAAACATATGACAGGTGAAATCTCGAGGACCCTCCGCCATGATGAAAGCAAAGGTGTGGATGTCCTTCCCCACACCCATGAAAGAAAGGAAACGTACCCTGCACTCTGACAGCACCTCCTCACTCTGGGGTTGGAAATATAAGTGACAGTAGAAGGATTTATCTAGTGTAATATAAATATTTTCCCCAACATTTATCTATACTATGACTGATAAAGCATGAGATAATGGTGTATGACAATAAATCGATAAAATAATTCTGCTTTCAGGCAAACTTTGCACTTTATGAAATAATACTTAAGTAAAGCTTTAGTGGCAAGCCATACAAAGCAAACTGACATCCCTGTAAAGACCAATCATGAAACTTCAGCTCCCGATTTAAAATCACCACACTGTGTCCTTGTTTGTTGTTTGTTACCTGTCTTGAAAGTATTGAGAGAGTGGCTGGTGCGACATTCACAGAGACAGGAGTCCAGTCATTTTTATCTTTGCCACTCATTGCAGCCTCTAGCGCGTCATTGATTATATCCATACCTAGAAATGCATACAAAAACAAAACACACACAGAGAACGCATGATAAAATCCATAAAGTGTAGGGACATTAGAAGAATGTTGTCAACATGTAAAAGTGTAAAGAGCTCAAACATTTCCATCAACCAGTAAGTATTTGATGGTATTTTCTTACCAACTGGCTTAGCCACAGGCTCACAACCAAGGTAATAAACATGGAAGCGCTGGAAGAGTTCATTTTTGGGAGCAGGAAACTCTGTTAGGAAAGGAAAACACATTGCGTGATCCAATCCCACACTGTGAACTATGACGATATTGCAAGTGTGTAAGGCCTAAAGGATATTTTATTTTACCTTCAACAGGGATGACCACAGGCTTATTTGAGTCAGAGTTGAATCTGCTCCCTCCTGGCTTGGTTGCCTTTCTCTCCATCATTATCTGAAGTTGAATTAAGTGAATAAAATGTTCAAATTTCAAGTACGGCATTCACAGATGATTTTGAATGAAGAGACTGCACTGAATTAATAATGAAGCTAAATTAAATCCAAGCTGGGCCTGACCTTTGAACACATCTCATGTAAGCTGGTGGCGATATTCTTAGCAGGCGAGTCACAACGGAAAACATGACACTTCAAAACTTGGGTCAAGTTGTCTCGAGCCACATAAGCAAAATCCCTGCAGATGAAATCAAACGAAAAAGGTCACATTTCACATATTCACATGTGTAAGACAGTTTGAACAAGTATATGCTTATGTGGACACAAAACACACACACACACCTGTAAGTAACAATAGCACCAAAGCAATCTTTAAAACCATTTTAAGATAGTAATCATTATGTATACCTTTCCCTGTTTATTGCAGCATGAAAGAAAAAAAAAACACGATTGTTAGAATGCAGTCAGACAAGAAGCAGGCATCAACAGTCAAGGTTGTAATCACTGGCTGCCATGCTCTTAACAAACCAGCAGAGGGCAGATGCATGCAGTTAACACTACACTGTGCTTGCTACAGGTTTCTTCGGGAATACCAAGCATTATAAATGAATTCTAACTACAGGAGGCTGTACAACATTTAAAATGTCAATCAGCTGCTAAATTCTGACTTGTCTGAATAATGGTAGAAGACTCAAAACAACATCAAAGAAGAAGAGGTAATGCCGTCTGCTCTAACAATCATTTCAGCTAAAATTTAATTTCGACTGAAAATCGACCAGATGTATGTTCTTCTTTAAGGAAATTCAATGGAACCCTGTTTTCAGTGAGCATCTTTGCACAACTAAAAAAGTATGAATTAGGGTGTGAATAGAGAACACAGTTTCCTTCAGTGATAAAATTAAAATATATGGCTGAAGATGGTAGATTACAACAATGAGAAAGTACATAAAATAGCACTGACCAATGATCAACTGGTCTCCTTGAAGCATGTTTTATTTCAGTGGTTCTCAAACATTTTCTGCATTATCATCCGCCCCCTGACTGATGGTTTTATTAGAGCTGGATAAATCATGTTCAGATCATCATACTGACCTGCCATTGTCTCTGCCTACACCCCAAACACGGATACTGCCAATTGGCTGAGCGTGAAGCAGAGTCTGGCCCAGAGGGTCAATCAAGTTCATGGTGTCGTTCTCCAAAATCATCAGCATGTCCTTACCCTGTGACAACACACACAGCCTTAAACTGCAGTTATGCTTGACGCATTGGCCACGGTACGTGCCACCTGTGACGTCAACACAGAGCCAGAACTATTTATACTTGTTAAACATGTATACGATTACTGTAATGGTAAAAACATTCCGCTTTTACTACCTGAGATTACTCAATCATTACAAAACATGAATTTAACAACAAAAACTCTTAATTACAGCTTGGAAAAACTGCTGAAAAGATACAGCATTATGTGATCGAACCCCAATAGCTTAAAGGTAGCTGACAACAAGATACTGATGAGTTCAAAAGGGTCAATGAAAAATCTTCAACAAGGTAACAGCCTTTTCCATCATCAAACAGCCATTACAGGAACTGTCAGTGAGACTCAATAAAATCCCCTCACCTCTCCCCAGATACCAGCCGTGTCATGAATGTTGTGTTTGTGGTAAGAGAGCTGCCTGATGCAGTTGTTGACAGCAACACTGCTCTTGCTAGGTGCCATGTCCTCCTCAGACATCTCTACCCAGCCCAGGGAACGCACAGCAAAACACTGAAAGTGCAAATATGTGGCACATTACTACAAAAAAAGGATTCAAGAGGGAAGGCAAAGAACAATGGTGTTAGGAACGATTGGAGGCGTTAACAGTGCTCAGTTCACCTAATTTAGGCACATATCTAAACAATCATTTGTCGATTCCTCCGAGTTAACAGTGCTCAGTTCACCTCATTTAGGCACATATCTAAACAATCATTTTAAAAAAGTATGATTGGCTACAAACATGCAAATATGACAGGGACATTTGGACTTAACACTCAATATAAAATAAAAATTAATTACACCACACTTATGTCAAAGCAAGAGAAAATATTTATTCCCTAGCATACCAAATAAGCTATTTTATTTATCATAATTATGTTACTGAACTTTTCCCATTGAGAAATTTCCTCCATTTAATTTGACCCTTGATAAAAATTCGGGAGCGAGAGTCACAGTGGCGCTCCCAAAGACCAACCCAGGACCTGAGGCCTGTTGTGCTGTCATGATCAACAGCAACAGTTTTCCAAACAAGAGTCTTTTTTTACTCGCATTTAGAAAATCCAACAGCAAACAGTGATTTACCTTAGTTTCTAAATCTGTGCAGAGTGGAGCAAGCTTCTCTTCCTCCTCAGACTGGGAGCAATTGTAGCTGTAATGATAGAGAGAGAAAGCAATAAGGGTGAACAAAAAGATAGTAAGAGGTGACACAATATTATGAACTGAACGCTTTAACAACACATACTTCAGATTGATAGATGCATAGCGTAAAGTTGCGCCTTCAAACTCCTTCAGACTTTGATCAGATGCAACCTCTCCTTCCTCCTGAAGACAGATACAAAGAAAAACAATTAACAATGGAAGTTTTAACATTGCTCAACGTATTCCAGCTAGAGGATGTAAATTTAATTTGGCTAAAAATCAGTAGATAGATTTAATACACAGAACAAACTTTCTTGAAATACTGGGAAAAAAGCCATGAGAAAAAAAAGTGTTGTTTGTATTTTATTATGTTTTTATGATGATGTATTGATCTGGGAACTCTGAACCTATTAATATTTCATCCCAGGATTGGTCTTATACTACTTTAAGCTTTGATTTTTTTTTGATGCTGCCAAAATATGAAAACACTAAATACAGTTTATTTATGCTAAATCAGAGTCTCTTCATCATTTACCTTCCACAGTTCCCCTTCACCAGCTCCTTCATCTGTGCTGGAAAGGTGAGTCCAGGATTCCTGGAAAAATGTAACAGCAGTGATTATTATCTAGAGCTTCACATGTCAGTGCTTCTGTCCAAGTGAAATGTGTGTTAGGTCTCACCTCAGGTTCCTCACAGGGTGTAGTCTCCAGGGACATAGTGGAGGACATCATGGAGTCACCAACTTTATCCAGGGGCGAAGGAGGGTCCCACTGGGTGGTGCCTGTGGGGATGTGCCAGTAGTATGTGCCTGACATATCTCCAACCCTCATCCACCCTGAAGGCAGGTCAGTGTCTGTCTCAAAAGCACTGGAGTCCCAGAACGACCCTGAAAGGGAGGACGCAAAGAAGAGACACAGAAAAGGGAACGTGTTTAAAATCTGTCTGGGGGAAACAAAACGTCTCATTCAGCAGAACCAACAAGCAGACCAGAACAAAAAAAGCATTGTTTGATGTGTATATATGCTGACAGCACTGAAATAGTTGACTCTATTGCCTATATTTCTTATAAGCAAATCATCTGCTCAGTATACAATTTGCTTCTGTGGTTTATTTTCCCCACCTTGAATCCATGTCTTATCCACCTGTAATGGTTTATTGTTTTGGGCAGCATCTCTGAGTCCATGTTACTGTCTGTGCATGCTGTACAATTCAACAGCCCTAACACATCAACTCTATACACCGTTTACCTCTGTTGCCATTTGGAGAGCCATCAGCCGTGTTATCCTGAGACGGTGCAGGCCAGCTGGACTCTTCATCACTTGGCGTCCCGTTCATGTTGGAGAAGAGGAGGCAGGCATTTCGCCCAACAATGCTGCCCTCTCTCTGAGACTCATCATTACTCTGTGCCACTTTCTCTCCTCTGGTATCACCTGATGCATCTTCTTCTTCCTCTGATTTCTTTTCCTTCTCTTTGCCATGCTCTTCTCTCTCTTTATCTTTCTCCTCTGTGGACTCCAGAGTGTTGATGAGTAGTGGCTCATTAAGGATGCTCTTGGACTCTTCCTGAATGAGACGAGGGGTCATTACGATTTTGGGAGACTTGGTCTGCTCCTGGTTTCCCTGTTGTTCTTCCTGAGTGGTGTTCTGATGAGGGAAGTCTTCCTTGTTCCCATTCTGGCTGACATTTCAGTTGTGGTCCTGATCCTGGTGGTTCTCGGCTACTTTCCGCAGCTGGTTCTGGCCTTCTTTGGCCCACTTAGCATTGTTGACAGTTGAGTCCTGGTCGGACCAGTGGCTGCTTTCATTCAGTTTGTTCTTTAGCTCTTCGTCCTGCTTTTGTTTATTCACGACATATGGCATATCTTCATCATCACGGCCACCCATGGCAACTTTCCATGTAAGTGCTCTGATGGAGAAAGGAGTTGAGATGTTAGCATTACCAGTTAGCATGCTAGCTGGCATCCTGACGTTTTCAATCGCTAATAAATTCTAAGATGTTAAGTTAAACGGACATTAGTTCACATTAAAGCAACCAACGTTAGTAATACTTCAGTCTGACAGGACTCTATTTCTCGTTCGCCTGTTCCGGGTCGCCCATTGCTGCGGTTGCTTTCACTGCTAGGTTTTTTTGAGCCGCACTTGAGTAGCTGCACCTTCCATTTGCCAGCGGGACCTTTTTCTCTTGTAATACTGATCTTAATATATAGCCGGTCACAAGCTCATAGCACAATTTTAGATTCCGTCAGTTGGTTAACTAAAGTCTAGTTCTAAAAGCAAACTGCGTACTAAATTTCAGTGATATTGATCAGATACCATCGCCGCAGCTGGAAATAACGGGCACCATCCGCCATCATCACCGTGGTCATCTTGGCTAGGCTAATGTTAGCTCCAAACAGGAAGATCAAACCGAGCGCAGTGACAGTGATTTATCAAGATTTAGTTAAGAATGTTGACTTACCAGCTCCACCAAACCCCGTGTTGTCGAAATGCGCTGAACTGTTCGCGCTAACTACATATTCCCATAAATCGTGAGGGCTCTTCTCGTTTCTAAATGGTGTTTTCTGTCAGTGGACTCGGCTGGTGATGGAGGACGAGCCTGCGTCACGGATTAACGTCACGGCTGGGGGCCACGGGCGCCACCCGCTCCCCACCTGGTCCTGCCACTCGATCCGCAGAGCAGGAGACGAACATCACCAAATCATGTTCACATGCTGGTTTGGACACATTGATCCGGTGCTACCTATTTCAGTTTGTTAGGACTTCCGCTCCAACAGCTGGATTTCCAACCGGGTCCAAATTGTAGGCTAGATTTACTTCGGCAGGTGTTAAAAAGTCTTAAGCACTGATTTATGTTTCATTAAAAATAACTTTAAATGCATTTTAAAAACTCTAAATTAATTTACATTTTCTAGCCTGGTGTAGGAAGTAACATTAGTTATGAAATGATTTTATACATTATCTTAGCCAAAACTGTCTGGAAACCCCTCAGTGCCATTGTTACATACCCCATAAGACTCATATTTGTGCCTTAAATTAGGTATTTTTATAATTGGTTCATTTGTTCAACCTCCATGTTCTGCTGTTTATCCAGTTGGAGATAGTATTTAATATTAGGACTTGTTATATACTGCTAGGACGCAGTGACAAAAATGTGATGTCAATACATCCATGCACTTAGTAAATAATTCTAGGCCTCATCATTCATGGTTTTCATTTATACTTTGATATGACAATGAAACAAGTATTAAATGATGCTGTATTAGATATTAAAATGTCCTTAAACAAAAATTTAGGTACTCTGTTTAAGCACAACTTTGAAGTACTTGTAGTTTACTTTAGTATTTCCGTTCTGTTACTTCATTAACATTTCAAAAGAAAATTTTACCCAGTTAGATTTACATGACATCTGTAATACTTTCACATCTCATAGAAAGGTTACTTTTTTCTAAATTACCCATTCAGACACAGAAACGATGCAGGTCTAATAAACAACCCATGAGACTGAAATAAAGTCAGAAGTAATTCTAGAGGACAAAAATAAAAACAAGTGAGAAACCAACTTAACAGTTTGTAGGGTGTCAATACCGCCCCTTATGGCCCAGCCATCTTGTGCTGGCAGCAGCTTCTGATGTTGCCATAAAACTGAGTAAAGACAAACCTCATGCTTGACAACAAAACAACAAATTGTACCTGTACCTATGATATCCATGAATAAATTACAGTCTTGAGTTGCAGTATTTAATCCTGATACTACGTTGGAAAAGGAGAATTACATTGCCAGTCTTCAACAGGAACACTTGAGTTAAGCGCTAACACTTTAAACAAAAATTGCCTATACTCAGTGTTGAACAGTACAGCCAACAGGACTCAAAAAAGAATTAAACTTAATAGTTTGAAGGGAAAATCATGAAAATAGATTACAGTTAATCATTACAATTAAGAGAAACCAGAAATCTTGAAGCACATTTGGAAAGTTATTTTCCCAAAATTGCAATAAGCAACAAGTTGTACATGATACAGTCGGGGCCCAATGCTCAAGACAGGCCAAGCTCTACACAGCACTACACAGCCAAGCTGAATGGCACAGTACTGCTCCTGAACACACTCTTATGTGCACCACTCATTCACATAAAACCTCTTAAGTATATGTTTAAATGCCTAGTTTCAGACTTTTGTCATGCTTGCCCAGTTTGTTGCTAATACAACACTTTCCGTTTTGGGTAAATATATCATGAAAAATTAAGAGCAGACAGTATAAGGGAGCCGTTTCCTTACAGTGTGACTCTTTAATTATAAGCCCACTTCAGATACAAAATAAGGCCTTAACTCCAGTGAAGAAATGCACCAGACTGTCATGCTTCAATCCACAGGTTGTTTGGTCACTTGAAGACTGTACTCAGTCTGCATGATTATAGTTTAGAAGATGAACAGTGAAGATTAGGCTCCAGCGAACCCAGTATCAGTGACAATGATAAAACTAGCTCCGAGAAAATAATAATAAAAAAAAACATATAAAAGAAGTGATGCTGCTGAATTCATCTCAGAAGTAGAAGCTAGAGTGGTGCTGAATGCAGCGGTAAAGAGTTTAAGGCAATACTGGTAAGCACCACACCACCACATCAGAGAGATATCTGGAGGAAGAAATCCAGTAATCCAAGAATTCAGTACAGGAGGAGAGAAGAAGGTTTTCACTTGTCCTGCATTTTTTCCAGAATTGGCACAATCATGTCAAATTTAGGCCTTTTTGCTGGATCTTCATTCATGCATATCTTCATGAGCTTGCAAATGTGAGGTGAGATGCCGGGAGGGATGGTGGGCCTCAGACCCTCCAAGGCAACCTGACAGCCAAAGCAGGCAGACATTAGATACTGCCAAACTTAATAGTCAGATGTTACTGAATCAGCTGAACTCATTAATAAAACTTCATGTTACTAAATCTCACCTGCAAGCTTTTTGCTACTCAGGTATTTAATCTAATGAGCCATAGTCCTACCAACCTTCATGCCTATTTCCATGTTGGACAGGTCAGCAAAGGGAACCTCTCTGGTCACCAGCTCCCACAGCATGACAGCAAAGCTCCACATGTCTGCTGAGCGACGATTGATCTCTTCTGGCTTCTTTTGTAAGGCTGGCCATCATTAAGAGCAACAAATGGAAGTTACATGGAGCAAACACACTGAAATACACAACAGACACCATCTCTCTCTACTTACTGCAAAACTGCTGAGTATTCAGATCCCTTCAAGTGTACACACTGGATGTGCAAAGATGGACTATTAGGTCAAAGTGCAGTTCTACATTAATGTGGTTTATTATTTAGACACATTTAACTCCACTGAATGGACAGTTTTTTTTTTATGTTGTTTTTTTATTTTTTTTTACATACACAGCAATACTGACATTATTTGAACTACACTGAACTAAGCGGTTACTCTGTTTGTAGCCAAATATTAAACCACTGATTCACAACCAGCAAACGGCAACTTATGTTAAAAGATCAATCTGATGTACATACATGTGTCCACTGCCTCTACCACTCTCCATGTTCTTCAATAATCACCAGTTTTCTGTGCGTGGTCAACACTGAGCATCATCATAAAAATGCCCTGAAGTGATCCTAGAGGTGCTTGTTAACCACAGCACCACAGTTCTGCCGTCTGTAATCTATCAGCTATATTGTGTGTTGCTGTGGAAACCTAATCTCATAATTAGGTTTCCACAGCAACAACATTAGGTTTCTAACTTAACTTTAATATAACGCAGTTCACTGCACAATAATAGATATAAGATACAAGGAAATGGAACATTTTGGGAAACTATTTGCAAAAGAAAATCACAAATGGTAAAACTCTGGCTGATCTTTTTTTTTTTTTTTTACTTGTCCTCTAAAATAAAGATGTTGTGTACAGAGTGATTAAAGTCAGACAAAAAAGAAACTAAATCCTGACCAGATGACCTTATGGTATCAGTTGGACATACAGTGCAAGTCATTTAGCTGTGTTCATTGTATGGGACTGCATAATGTAACATCAAACTAGAGCTGTAGTGATTTTAGCTGCCATTCCTCTATATGAAACCTGATGTCCTTAGCTATGGTAATTTCAAAATTCAATAATGACTTAAGTTATTTAACAAAAATCTCAATATAATAAAATGATTCCCCATGAAAGAGAAATGTGAATACATCGCTCCAGCAATACCAGTAATCAACACACCATGATGGACATGTGCTGCTTCTTAGAATATATTTATCTTACTACATATACTACATAAATGGGAAAAGCAAGAGTTACTCCATGTTACTTACCATATCCAGTTGCTGCTCTTTCTGTTATATACCACAGGGTGAAAATGTTACGAAGTTGTTCTTGCCAAGGACGAGGCCCATTGATATTCTTCACCCTCACCTTATCTGTACATTTGTGCCTTATAAATAGAAACTCTCTGTGCTCTCAATTTCATGGCTCACCACCCACTATAATGTTTGGAGAGTGTTTCTATGGTAACTTGGCTGCAACAAATCCTCTGTACCCCATGCAATGCATGTTTCATAGGCTTTCCAGTAAAGTCAAGTCCTTTCTGTGGATGGCTGTTACTGTTTGCATCCCTGCTGCAAAAGGTCCCTAGTTATTAATATTATATAATCTGTTTATGTTCTCAACCTGATTGGATTACATTGTAACCCAAGGGGGAATCAGCTGTACTGTAGATTAAATCTGGCTCAGAGACAGTCTAGAGTTCCCTGCATCCATCATTCACGCTTCAGCTGCCACTTTGGATCTGTGCTGTATGAGTGATGCCTACCCTCAGGGGCTACCCATGCAGGCGAGTACATCCTTCCAGGACACTGGAAGGAAAACTTGACATCTGCCATGCTGATCCTGGCTGTCATGTCTTCATCTATCTGTGGAGGAAACAAGGAACACTAAGTGACTTGTCACTTTAAAGTAACGGATATCACTTTCTGCTTGGGCAGTTTTCTGGAGCAACGGTTTCATCTAACAGGTCAAAAATGAACAATCATCACATAAATTTGGAACCAGAACGTGATGCTGAAACCCCAGTTTCTTCTTACCATAACACCCTTGCTGTTGAGATGGTGGCGAGGGATCATGGGTTCAAGCGTGTGTAAGAAAGCCATTCCACAAGCAATGTCGAGCGCAAACTTCACGGCCTGTGTCTGGTCCACCACAAAGTCTGACAGCAGGATGAGGAACAACGTTTTAGTTGGTTTTACCCACCCTTACTTTCACCAGTTAACAGGTTGACAGTGAAATTGATACTGTACAAAGAGTGATGACAACATAAGGACAAATGCTTAAGTTCAATAAATCACAAATCCCAGCAAACAATCAACAGTGGTGACAAGTATGGACTCAGTGACCAGGGCAGAAATACTCACTGGTGCCTTCATGCAGCACGTTGTAGAGGGAGCCATAAGGCATCCAGTGTGTGATGATGATGGGGTGAGGGGCAGGAGGAGACTGACATGCTCCCAACATGGGCAGGACATTCGGGTGGGAAAATATCCTGGGATTGAGCCCAAGAGGGAGGACCAGGCAGACAAAAAGAGGCAAACCCACAGAGGATGTGACAAAAACAGAATGCTCATGTGACACGTACACCCTCCCAAAAATATGAATAAAACACTACGTTTGGCTTAACACAATAAAAACAGACGAATGGGTGACCGCAGCAGCACAGAACAGAGGCTGCAGTAACAAATTCAGGATTCAATAATAACCTGAGTTTGGGGTATTCCTCATTGAAGTCTCTGCTTTTCCTTGTGGTCCAGTCACGAACTTTTAGCACCTTGACCACAATTTCATTTCCTTGCCAGCGCCCCTGCCATAGCTACCATTGAGAAATAAACATAGAAAACATTTGGTGAATGATGATGTACATTTATCTGATTGATTTAGCAGATCTGTATGAATGCAGCACAATAAATGAATGAAAACAAGTATAAGAGGAAGTGTACCTCTCCAGACTGGTTCTCATTTATTTTAGCCAGGAGGGAGAGCTGTTTGTAGTCAATGCCTGCGTGTTTGTTCAAAGTGCCATTGCCTAAAAACACAAGATGGAGACAGGCACTAGTTAGAGCTCAGACCAAAGTCCAGTTTTCATGTGAAATTCAGCACAATGCTCTGTAGAAGGAAAGGCTGTGTAAATTTCACACACCACATTACGACTGGTTGAGGGGATAGCTACGCTTCCCTTTCATTCAACCCTCTGACTAAACCAAACGACGGAAACTGGACCACTGATAAATTATGTGTCTGCGGGACTTACGGGGTCGAGTTCTGGTGGTGCCTTTCCAGAATGTGTCCTTGAAGGGAATTTTAGTTAAGCTCTGTCCCATTTTCTCAGCCTTTTCTAGGTGCGGAGGAGGAGAAAATCAATGCAGAGCAACACAAAAGAAATACATGATTAATACTGGAAGCATTTACAACAGGTGGAACAGTCAGCTGTAATGGGTAGTTGGGATACCTCTGAGGGCTTCATGCAGGTGAGGTTTGGCTTTGTCCAGGGGGGTCTCCCCATATTTGTTACAGATGCTCACCTGAGCCCCATTAGTCACAAGGTCCTGAAAAAGAGCAGAGAGCGGTTTCACTAACATTTCCTAATAGTTGTGATGATGGGAAATATACCACCACCAGGGGGTGCACACACCTCAGCCACTTGGTCTTGGCCCCAGAAGCAGGCATAATGCAGTGGTGTGTTCCCATGTTCATTGGTTGCATTAGTGTCCGCTTTACATTGGATCAGCTAAAGGGAGAAACAAAGGATTATAAGCAAAGCAAGGCTGGACAGATCTTGTTTAGGCTGTGTACAGAGATGAGTGTTCATGCCGTCTTGACTGCGGACACATACCAGAGGCATTGAGACATGCCTAATATTAAACTCAATAGCCGCCTAGCAGCTATTCTAAATCAGACACTCTGCAGTAGAGGGTCACATTATGGCAACAGTGCTGTGTCCACTGACATACAGATTATCTTGGCATTTCTATTCATGGACCAAAATGAAATCCTTTCAAGAAATACATTAAATACTAGGCAGACAAATACTGGACAGGTATGTTTCTCTACTTTACTAATCAGTCCTGCATACCTAGGATCAGCCTGCAGCTCATGTATTAGTCCTGTTGTCCAACCCCTTTGAGATATCCTTGAAAATTAAGTTTATGACCAAATTAGTCTCTGAAGAAACAAATGATTCATAAATGTATTTTGAGAAAAATGGCTTCTTTCATATTAACTGTAGTAGTAAGAAGCTTTTCTAATCACAGTTGGAGCCACTGAATCTTAAAATTTGTTCTTGACACTGACAAATTAGTAAGCACTCCTTTCATTTTAAAACTGCTGATGGTAGAGCTGCAAGAACAAACAAGACTTTTGTGTATGTAACCACTGACAGATGACATCATTTATATTTCATAATATCCCATGCTTATGAAGCAAACTTAAAGAGACACACCAATATTTTAGTCAATGAAATCTGAAAACCTGTGTAGAGACAGGAATCAGTTCCACAGCACTGGCATCAATTTCTAACAAGATGTCTAAGGAGGAACACTTGTCACAACACATTGTAAGACTTATTGTGGAAACACTGGTTGAAATCACAGTGCATATCACAGCACGGTGTCTGTAATGTTTAACTTTGACCGTGGAGTTACAAGATGTCTAAAGAAAGCAGGAAGAAACCTTTTTGGGCATAGCTGTGATCTAGTGTTTACATGAACCTCACCTTTCCCACAATATCTCGGTGACCGTGGCTGGCGGCCAGGTGCAGAGGCGTGTCATCTCCACGGTTCATGACATTAATGCGAGCTCCTCTCATTATGAGCATGTCCACCACATTGGAGCGGCCCTCCCTGCACGCCCAGTGGAGAGGGCTGAAGCCATGGTCATCTCTACAGCGAGAGAGGAGCAGTCACATTAAGCACAGGTTTCACAGAAATCTTAATAACCGCAGGATTGGCAGGGAAGGGTTTCACATTAAGTTTTTCCTACAAACTGCATGTGTGTTTCCCTTGACAATGAAAATATCACTTTCCAAAAACAAAGGACAACAAATATGCATTCCAGAAAGAAACTGGGTGGGCAGTCAACCTCAAAAATATGTAACAGATGAACCAGCTGCTTTGCCGCTCCTTTAAATAACAAAACTACATTTGGTCCAGAATCTGAGCACCTTTGAACGAAGAGGCCTCGGTTAAGAAGCCTATATTTATCTGAAATTACAGCACTAAGTTGTTTTAGACCAAGGGTTTTCCAGCTGTGAGCTGTCCAGTCTGGACACACAGGCATAATAAATACAGCTTTAGTTTTAGTGTGACTTCCCATAGAAATCACTGTCTCTCTAAAAATTTGAGCATGATTATCCACTAAATAAAAGTAAGATGAAGTATTTCATTCTCAGCCAAGGTAAAGCACAGTGAGGAATCTGTTCATTTGTAGTTCTGTCATTTCGTACCGCTAAACAAGGAAGTTGCAACTCAGACTGAGACCACAGCTAAGAGGCCTCTGGCATTCATCATTCCTCTTTGTGTCGGTGACACTAGAAGCAACACATGTAAGGACAGTGGCCTTGACTAAATGACAGAGTGACTGATACCGCACCTCCACAGGGGAAAAGAAATGAAGACTGAGGTAAAGGCACAATGAGAGCTGATTGACAGTTGATCAGGAAATAAAGGCACAGTGAGAGCTGATTGACAGTTGATCAGGAAAAACACTACAAGGAAAAAAAAGAAGAGAGCAGAATGCTGCAGCTGAGTGTTTGTTGTAGTCCATATAAGGCCCAGTAAAACTTCCTTCAGCAGTGCTGCACACACACTCCAGCTGCTGTGTGTCATTCTTCATTTCCTTGCAGGGCCACGGTCCCATCCTCCCCTCATACAAAGGTTCCTCCTTCATCAGGCTCTCCATTCCCTCATTCTTTCATTTCAACTCCATCTTCTCACTTCCACTAAAACAGCAGGACTGTACTCAGACATACAGTATTCCACATTTTCCTCTTGAATGTGAGCTTCACTGTTTGTGCCAAGGCGCTGTACATTTCTCCTGCTAGTAAAGTTATGTACTTGTTCAGAGACTATGAGAGGGCATACAGCATAATAATGTGATCTGAAAACTGAGGGAGTATTATTATGATTCTGCAGGAATTTGAACCCGATCCCACGCTTTCCCATCCAGTCTTAATGGGAAAGTGTGCCCAAACCTTTGACTGGCACTGTACATGACAAAGTTTCAGGATCTTCTGAAATAGAAACATAAAACATATCGTTTCAGCAGTTTGTGTTCAATGTGCAATGATCCAACATTGAAGATGTAATAATGAAATGACACACTGTAAAATAAATTTTTATATGACTAGAAAATAGAAAGCAAAACTAAACTACTCTGGTCCGTTTGACAATAACATAATTTAACCTAATTTAATTTAACCTAACCTAATTTAATTACATTTTCTCTGCTTTCATAGCAAATCACTGGTTACAATCAATGGACTGATTTATTTAGCATTCGATAACAGAAAACCAGCCAACAGGCATTTTCTTAGGATTTTAACATCTTCATTTATTTAAATAAAATAAAAAAAAAAGCCCACTCTGCTATTAAAAGACTATACAGCCCAAAAAACATGTCAGGTACTCTCTGTGTTTGTCCTGTATGACTTGGAGTTACTATCTCAATGTGTACTGTATGTATGTAAATGACAAAAATATCGCAGTGTTGACGTCCTTACAGTATCATACAGTCATTATTGGTCATTTACTGATGACAATTTGTTACTAAAAAGGTCTCAATCCACCTTAAACTGCTGAATTGTACGTTATTGGTATTTTTTTTTCCACAGGTACTTTCTATAGGATGGATTTTCCCAGGCCAGCTTCAACCTCACAGCTCAAAGGCACTTGATTGCCAGAGTTTTCTCCTGCTCACCCCCTCCACTCTGGCTGTAGTAATTTATTTCAGGCACTTCCACCTGCCAACAGAGCTCAGCTTGGCGGACAGAAAAGGCAGAGGAAGCGCCCCTGTCTGCACCCTGTACGTCTTTGCCCCGACATCCCCACCAGGTCATATAACAAGCCTCAGTCAAGGGAAAAAGAATTCACTGAAACATCTAAGAAATGAAAAGAACAGACACAGAGGTGGCAAAAACAAGGCTCCCAAGACTGTTTGGAAAAAGCCAGGCTGTCACTTCTGCTTCGTCTGCTACTTCTGCATTAAAGTGGTCAGTGCAACATTATTTTTAGACGGCTGAATATATAAGAGAGGACAGGATTTCATTTCTTAATTTCTTCAGTAGTCAACAAAAGTTTACTATGCAAACATGGGGAACATACAGTACGACAAACCCTGTGCCACACAGGGCTAGAAACACCCTCCAATAGCAGCCCATAAGGATGTACATACACTATCCTAAAAACACTCAAATTAACTGTTACTGCTATGATAATAGAATATCAGCTGATAATTAAGTCACATCATGTAAAGCTTTTTCTTGCAATAGCTACAGACTAGCCTGGCAACAGCTAGAAAAGCTAGGTCAGTCCCTGTTCACTCAGGGACACAAGAGGTTATATATAAAATCAGTATTCACCTCCCTCCCAAACAAGGATGCCTTAACAACACATAAAAATAAGTGCTGCCCTACAGACAGTTACATTCATTCACATATGTGCAGGGCTACTATCAGATGTACATTATGAGAAGCTAAAGATAGAGGAAGACTGAAATGATACACTCGTAGACCAAAGAAAACACAAGAGCAGAGAACTGGGCATCGTGAGGAATAAAGTTAAATGTGTAATAAACTATTTTCATCCAATTTTCTCAATCGATGTGTTTGTTTTGTCTCTAAAATGTTTGATAGTAGTGAAAAGCCCATTGTAATGTACAGGTTTTGCCTGACCAAAACCTACAGATATCCAATATGACATAGAAAATAACCACATCTGAAGACCAACTAATCAATTTACATAAATGATTAGCTAATCAAGATCAAGATCAAAGATTTTTATTGTCAATTCACTGTATGTGCAGGACATACAGAAAATCGAAATACCGCTTCTCTCTCACCTAGTATTGAATTTCATACCGTTTAGGAAACTAAACTAGAATAAAAGTAGAGTTAAAAATAGAACAAAAAATAACAAGAAAACTGAATCAGTGATTAGAATAAAACTAAACCTTACAACCTAATATGCTATGACTCAAATAACAAGAAGATTGTCAGATGGTTGTGAGGTTGAGATGCACATCTTTGCAGTTGTAAAACATATTCAGAGAAGACAAGAGATGAAGATTCAGGGGCAAACATTGAGTAGAAGTGGAGGAAATGTGGAGGGAAAACAGGCAGAGCCATTTAATTCCATTGGGAGACGAAAACCGGAAACACGAGCGGAGGGGGGAAGGTAATGTGTGCCATTATGACTTACTGTGCATTCCTCTTTTGACAGAAAAAAGGAATGATCCCCCCCCAACACAGTCCTGCTCACTGAAATAATCTCCTCCCTTTCTCTGAGCTATAGGTGACAGACGACTCCCTTGAGGCCTGCGTGTGACTCCTTGTAAGGAGATTCAGCATACCACTACTACTCTGTGTCTGCCAGTTTCATCAGTGTAAACACACAGCCATCGAGGAGCACAGAAAAATAGTACAGGAAAGATCTGATGCATCTGCTCAGATGTACTGTAGTGCTTTACTGAAATAATTTGAAGTCCTTTTGGAAAATAGAAAGGCACAAATAAATGTTTCAGCCATGGGGGCTGAGGATTGTATATCAGATGGAAAATAAAATGGAACTTGGCATGTAATCAGTGAATGCATGAGTCACATATGTGCGATGCATGCATGCACATGGACTGGATGCAAATATACAGTCTCTGAGAAGTGTAATACAAATAACAGAAAAACTGTGCAAACAAAATGTTAATGAAGATATTAAAAACATACTGCACACTATTTAACAACGATTTTTGAAAATTCTAAGATTGTAATAAAAGTAGGCACACATCCTTCTCCAAAAACACAAGACTGACCAAATGACAACAATCTGTTCTGGTCAGCCTAGAAACATCTGTGCTTCAGAAAGCAACAAAACCAAGCAGTGGTTTCATATCATGCCCCCTAATTAATGGGTTAGACAAAATAGTCCTGCTTTCCTCTTGGAAGTTTCTGAAACTTGACTTTTATGTCATTTACAAATGAATCTGTTAACAATCCAGCCAGTTGTTAATGCACTCAATCTTCTTGCCACAAATGTACTAGGACATAGGACAACAAAAGACAAAAAGAGAAAAGCTCCGAAGCAAATAGCCTTCAGAATTAAATGGATTCATTCATTCTCTCTTTGCTTACTCTAAGAACAAATACTGGTGGTCCAAATCTAGGGCAGATAACTCCAAAAGACAAGCTGGCTCTCTCGACTTGACTTACAAGCTTTGCCAAGTTTCTGCAGTTTCTGCTTCTGCAGCATTCTCTGCACCTAATTCTTACACTAAAACATCTCCACATAGACATTCAATCCTTTTTTCCCCTCTGTGAAGGCTCAATTTAGGCAAATGTGAGGCAAGGCAAGTGTGACTAACTCCACCATCCCACCATGCTTCCTGTCCAATATCATGCTTTTGAATTATTCCACTGGCTTTCAGGACATAAACATGCCCACAATGAAATGGGTTCAATCTCGGGCCACGATCTCACTGGGGACTAAAAACTGTGAGCATCAGACTGCACAACGTGACATTTCAAGAAAGCAATGATGCTGCAGAGTAATGAATACTTGCCTAAAATTCAAGTTCACATTAAGTCCCCTATGATTAGATCAGCTGGACAGAAATGGTGTGTGAATTCTGGATACCATTATCATTGGAACAACAAGAAAATATACAAATAAAACCAGGCTCACCCTTGATTGAGGTCATTCTCTGTATTGTCCAACCATAAGCGAACTGCTACTGCATTGCCTTCCCGGCACTGCGTGAAGACATCATCCATTTCTGCTGCTGTATTGTTCTTCTCTTAAGGTACACCAGTGGGAGTAGATGCAGAACTAAACTGGGACAGATGAGATAGGTGGACCAAGGGGTTCAGGACAGTCCTGTCCAGCATCAGTCCCTCTTTTGGGACAGTGGGGACACAGTTAAATGTACATTTAAGTAGAATGGACAGGCAACAGATATTATTTTGCTGTCAACATGTGAAATAGGCATTTGCAAGTAAAAAAAAAAAAAAAAAAGGCTTGACTGCTCACCCCCAATGCTGAAAACAGACACACAAAAAGAGAAGCTGCTCTATTACCAAATACTTAGTTTACCCTCAGGCTGTATATGCAGTTTACGCATTGCGACTCATGACCATGGGTGTATTAGCTCTGACTAACACTGACTAATATCATATACACCTGGGTACTCTGCCTATGACAAATTCTGTACTTCCTAAATATTTTAATTAGCACAAAATCAATTTCAAACTAATCAATTTAGACAGAAAATGTTTCTGCAAATACTTTGATAACTAAGGATTTACTGCCTTTTCTCTGTTTGGTGTGATAGAAAACTATCACCAACTATAACTAAGTCTTTGGGTTTTGGACCAAAACAAGCAATTAGACTGTGTCACCTTTTGTAAATTCAGACAGGCAAATCCCCATATTCTGATGATTCATAGACCAAGTGAAAAAACATGAGCATATTACATGATGATAAAAACTATTTGCAACACTAACCTAATTATCAAATTAATACATCCAAGTCACACTGCCTGGATTGTGATGAAATTAATCGCTGAATACATGCAAGAAAAAAAACCCCATCAGATTGTGACAGGTTTAATACATGTGCCATGATACTAAGTAAAAATCTGGGATCCCAATTTTGACTTTGACTCGTTATCATTAAAGGATTAGATTTAAAAACAAGCACTCAAACCATGACAAATAAAATCGGATTTTGAGGATGATGTGATTTAGCGCGACTTGTTCGTGTAATTAACAAGTACTGCACCAGGCTAACGCTGATGTCACAGTGATCAGTTCGTCCAATTCACTGCCTTTACAGCAGCTTGACTAGCTTCACTGCTATCTAGCTAACACAGAGTAGCTACCTAGTTCATTCAAGTTAGCTGGTTATCCCTTCAGCTTCCGCTCGTACCGTTGCGTCCTTTCATTACAAAGATAAAACCGAAATGACTCAAATAGCGCCACATATAAACTAGCATCCTTTAGATGATTAAATGAAACGCGCAGATTTTACTAACAAGCTAACTTAACTATCTGCCCTGACGCCGCGGACGGTCTCCGTTTCTCTCATTTGACGCTGACTGACTGAGAAGAGAAAAAACAAAACTTCGAGGTTTAAACAGATCAAAGTGAAAATAAATGCCCCTCTCTGTCGACAAACTTACCAGATATATTTGCCTAATGCTGTTATTTCGCTACAAAGAGCAGAAGTTTCTAGCAGCCTTAGGTTATTCTCCAGCAGATTGAATTGTCCACACCCTCCGTACGTACGCATACAACCATGTACGTACGTGGTAACGTTGAATGGAGGATGAGAGCGGCCCGCCCCCTACAGGCGGCGCAGACAAGTGCAGGTCAAAATTTCACTGCCTCAGGCAATGTTTTTCTGTTTATTTATTTTAATCATTTTGTTTTATTTTCTGCCAACAACATACAGCACAGTTTGATCACAGCATAAATTATAAGAGTGGACTACAACAGAAAGTGGAAAAGTGCGTTAGACCTTTTAGTTTTTTCAGCTTGCGTTAGACCTTGTACACACACTAATCACAGGATTAGTGATTAATATCCTCTCAATCCACTGTGGACCTTCCCTTTAGATTATGTCACATATATCACTGAGTAAGAGGTCGTTTAGGGTCATCATAACTCAGTTAAACTATAATCATTTCATCTTAATTTGACATACCTTTTTCATTGGAAAAACGTCCCTATACCACTCTGTTTCAGTTAAATAGTATATATTTTCTTGCCAAAAAAGCAGCTAGCCCAGCATCTTAAATTAAGTCGACCCCTAACGAGAAAAAGCTGACAGTGACATTCACTACTATAGTTGTAGTATGTACAAAAGCTTGACTTTTGCAAATGAGTGATCCCAAACATCAACTTAGAAGTTAGGTTAGTCTCGATTTATGATTTCTAACAAGATCTGATTAGAAATCATAAGTTTTTAAAAGGTCTTTCGTGACACTCGAGTACCACGAAAAACTTCATGACCCATAAGTCTCCGGTGCGGTTACGTCATCTTTATGCGCTTCTGTTTTGCTTCCCTCAAGCACGTGATACAAACCAACGTGGCTTTTATTTTTGACATTTCGGTGGTTATTAACAGTAGTTACACGTTAATTAAACAAAACATTTTATGCAAACACCATCATCGACGAAACAAGCCGGCGAAGACATTTTGTTACCACAGAGACAAACTGGTGAGTGACTGAATTAGCAGAGTGATGGAGATGACGGTTTTTAGCTCTAGTAGTGATTTACATATCTTTTATAGTAATCGGGGAAACATGTTTAATGAAGAGGACGACTGGAATGACGAAGACGCTCAAATCCTGAGTAAAACCGTTCTCAAAAACAGCCACAACGCGAACGGCAGCGCAAATGTTAAGGTAAATGTTCTTCCTGAATAATGTCTGAGGTGACTGTGACCAAGTCTTTGGCGGATTACCTATGATCTGAAGGTTTGGCCAGATATGGAAAGATTTCATATACCACCGTTTCCAATAATGTAATATTGTCCTTTTTCTAAGCAAATTTGTACTACAGAAACAAAACGTCCCTCCTTTTCCAATCCAAATGTCTTATTGCAGTAGTTTAACACTGTGTCACTATTGGTCTTTAACTTATCTTTATACAGTTTTGCAATATTACCCTGTCCAAAATTAATCTACATGTTTTTTAGTTAAAGACTAATTACTCATACTTATACTGATTATATCCCCCTGATTAGTCCAAGGTTGTTGGAAAAAAGAGCCTGCTGCGGACCCTGCAGACCCTGGGAACAGTACCAGAGTGGATGACTGACAACTGTCAGCGGGACAGTGACAGTGAGACAGAAGCAGCTCCATCACACAGTAAGAAAAAGAAGAAGAGAAGGAAAAAGAAAAAACATGCAGAGACATCAGAGGAGAAGCAAGGGAACGGAGGCTTAGATCAGAGTGTTGAGGAGAAACCTGTGACAAAGAAGAGGAAGAAAGACAAATTTGGTGAGTAAACTGATTAAAGACATATTTTTATGTTATAAGCATTTAATAGGCTCAGAAATGGATCAATGCTGATGTTCACACAACTTTTTTTTTCTTCCCTAAAGGGGGCCCAAAAGCAAAAATAATGTCTGAAGGTGATCCAAAGGATAAAGAAATTACACAGTCTACAACAGTGGAGGTAAATAAGACAGAGAACACAAAGAAACTGAACAGAAAACAGTGGAAAAACAAATTGAAGAGCAAGAGGAAATGTAAAAATAAATACCGCCAGAATAAACCTGAAGATGAAGTAAATAAAGCAGGGTCTGCACATAAACAGGGGCCAGAAGAAGTCAAAACAGATTCATATAGCAAGAACAACAATAGTGAAAAAAGCACTCAGACAGCAGCCCAGAAAAAGGAGAAAGTGTGTAAAGCACAGAAAAAGATAGTAACTGAAGAGGATACTGACATGACAGCAGCAACACAGACACAGAGGGAAACGAGGCAGTGGACTAAAAAAGAGACAAAAACAAAAGCTGGCCAAGTTAAAAAAGGTGCAAGTGAATCTTCTACTGACAGGTCAAGACAGAAAGCAGGTGAACCTGATGTGGTCTTCACAGGTGACCAGCAGCAGTTACCCACAAAAAGACTGAAACCTGAGCTGAGCAAAGAACAAAGTCTGAAAAGAGAGAAGCTGCGGAAAATGCTTCACAGCCAGGAAACGGGCCAACAAGAGCGTCCTGAAAAGCGGAGCAATGAGCCGGCAGTGCCAGAGGAAGTGGTGAAACAGGACCGCTCTGCTTCCTTCAGGTCCCGCATGGAGCAGCGGCTGGAGTCGGCTCGCTTCCGCTACATTAATGAAGTTCTGTACAGCACGTCCAGCGGTGAGGCCAAGCGCATGTTCAAGCAGGATCCACAGGCTTTCTGGGTCTACCACAGGGGATACACAGCGCAGGTTCAGAGGTGGCCCGCCAACCCTGTGGATGCAGTCATCTCTTACATTCGACAAAAGTGAGAGATCTTTTGCTAATAATTTTAAATTATCTGAGGATGCAGTGAAGTTGAAGTCAGTATAAAATCAAACTACTGTATCTGCTGCATAAGGTTCTAGGCTCAGAATTCTACTTACTAGCATTTTAGAGCTTTCAGTCACACTTCATTGTCTTCCCAGCAGTTGTCTCGTGTGTCCTCACACAACCAAGTGGTTCATGTGTAGACACTTTAGCCAGCTCTGTGCTTCATAAAGAAGACTGTAAATGTGGTTGAAAACTCCAAAAAGCTGATAAGGGGACCTTTAATCTCAGATTACGTTGTTAACCATCTGATAAAGCTTGATGTTTCAAGATTTCAGTGTTTGAAATAACTGCTTGGTATTTCTAAAATGTCAGTTTATGAACACAATTTGCAAAACTTCCATGCACATTTCAATAGTGTGATAGTGACTTTTCTCATCATTACTTCTGGAAAAAAAACTGTATGCTTACATCCAGTTAAATTCAATGTGTGATGATTTATTGCATTAACATCACAGCAAAATTATGACTAGACGTGCACTTTCCATTATTAGGGTGGTTTTTAGCTGCATCTCAGCAAAAGAAGAGCAATATTTTACAATCTAGTTTTGATATTGTGCAGCATCTCATCTCAACCTCTAAGCAACTCATCACATTTTGGTTGATTGATTCAATGCATTGATGTACAGTATAAGGTTTGTAGGCACACTTTGTTTAGTGTCCGCCTTGTTAACTGGCTCATCTTGTTACAGCTCCAAAAGCAATGTGATATCCATCATTTCTTCTTCAGGCAGGTTATTGTGCTGTAGGTCCAAAGCTCTCATTATCTACACCATATATCATACTTTACATACTGTGCAGATGACAATGTGACAGCAAGGAGGCATGCAGGAGATGATGCCACACTGCCAGTGTTTTATTAATGCTTCTCTTAAGCACATGAGAAGATGCCCTTGTCAGCATCAGTAGTTTGAGAGGAGAACAACAACTGTGGCAAACTCATTTTTGGTCTTATGACCTGCTCTGTGTAGAGCCTAACTCAACTTCATTCGCAGTAGGAATGCTCCTTTTACTTTATAACCCTAGCACTGTATCATTTGTTTCAGACCTTCCTCTCTAGTGGTTGCAGACTTCGGCTGTGGTGACTGTAAAATAGCCCGAAGCGTGAAGAACAGGGTGCACAGCTTCGACCTGGCAGCTGCCTCTGAGCTTGTTACTGTCTGTGACATGGCCAATGTGAGTGTGGGGTTTTTTGGTTTTTCTGTTTGCTAATCAATGCACATTTAATAAAACATGTTCCGTCTGTGCAGGTCCCGCTTAAGGACAGCTCTGTGGACATTGTTGTGTTCTGCCTTTCACTGATGGGGACCAACTTGGCAGACTTTATAGCAGAGGCCAATCGGGTTTTGAAGATGGGGTAAAGGATGTTGTAACATTAATTCAGAATGCACATGTTTCATTTTACACATACACCACATGTCTAACTGTTTTGTGCAATTATTGCAGGGGTGTCCTTAAAATAGCAGAAGTGGCAAGTAGATTCGAGAATGTGCGGAGCTTCATCACTGCACTAGGAAACCTTGGATTTAAGGTGGTGTCCAAGGTGAGAATGATATAAGTGGTCATGTTTACAGGGACAGAGAAACACTCCTGTATTTATCTACCTGATCTAATGAACCATTTTCCTTTATTATTAACCAAGTTAGCACGTGCATTGTCACAGCTGTTATAAATTGAAATGGGAAGCTCATACTCAGTTAAGGAAATGGTTAATCTGCCATGGAAACATCTTTACTTTTTTGCTTGTAGCTGTGAAATCTTAATTAAACATACAAAAATATACAGCATTTACTGAGTACAGGTATCATTATTTCTTTTACCTCTGAAGAAGTCTGTTGCTCACAGAGGAAATCAGTAGTTGGCATCTATAGGCCTGTGGCTGTGGGCAGGAAACCTCAGTGGCAACAGAGAGACTACTACACAAATGTAAACAGCACCAGATGAGTGAGAACCCAGCCACACTTGGGTCAGGAGACAAATTAGCCTGTACCTGTATATCTCACCAGCAGTGTCCAAATTGCTGCTGTCATGCTTCCTATTTAAGCCAAAACATGCAAATGAAGTTAAAAAAAAAATAATTTCCAGAGCAAACTTAACTTGTAATATCAGAGAAATGCAGGTGGAACTAAAACATAAATGATGGCTGCAACAATTAATGTCAGTGTCACTAATCATAGTGTTGGGTGGAACTAAAACATAAATGAGGGCTGCAACAGTTAATAATGTCAGTGTCACTAATCATAGTGTTATCTGTGTGCAGCAAGTCGAGGTATTGGCTTTAAGAAAAGATCAGTTTAACTTTTGTTTCACTCCACACCTTCTCCTTGGCCGTGTACCCATCCAGTGTGAATAGCTCCCTAGCTTGGATACCACTGACCTTGCCAGTAACTGTATATAATGAATTGTCTAATGTTGTGTTTCTGTTTGTTTCTCTTTTTCTTTAGGACACAGAGAACACACATTTCTACTCCTTTGAGTTTGTGAAAACGACACAGTCTCCAGAAAATGTAAAGAAATTTGGACTGCAGCTGAAGCCCTGTGTGTACAAGAAAAGATGAAGATGCTAAATGATGTTTTTAAAGCAGCACATTTTAATTTGAATGTATTATTTTGATACATTTTTGAAGCGTCTGTAAACCGTTTTCCACTAATTAGTTGAAATGTGTGGATTAGATGTGGCCTCCCTGGTGTTTTTGTATGTGCCACCAGTATCCATGTAGATCTGGGGTGTCTCCCACTTAGGGAGAAACCCCACTTATTGATTAGTTTCTCCTCTCTGGTTGGAGATATAATCAGTAAAACAAATAACCATATGTGGTGCACGGTTAAAGGTGAACCCTACTTGTATGGTTGCATGGACACATCCTGGTAATGTAGTCAGTTTTGTAAGAGGACAAGTCATGTAAATAATAAGACTGTTGCATGAAAACAACTCAGCTGCATGAACAATCATTTACCACAAGAGGGCATAACAACACTGCAGACTAATGTGACCTGTGAGTTCACTGCCTCTGCATCTGGATCACATAATGTTAAAACCCGGGTCAGTTAAGGAAAAGGGAAGCAACATAAAACCAGATGGAATTTGAAAAACAAGTTGCTTTAAGGAGCATCCAGAGTTTACAAAAGACGGTAAAAGAGAGAAACTGCAAAGGAAAATGCCCTGTGGGTGCTGTTTTGAGTTTTTGTTAAGCTTTCCTGTAGCCTATGAACAAAAGAAAACTAAAAACCTCAACTCCATATTACTTACCCATCCAAATACAACAACAATAACAGCAACATCCCCGCTCTGTCCAACAGGTTCCTGTCTAGGTGAATATGTATGAGTTTAATCACCTAAACCTGCCCAGCTCCAGAGGTGTATTAAGTGCCTCATGAAAAGTGTTGGGTGGCTACGTGTGTATAGCTTGTAGCAGTGAAATTGGCTTGTCCCGATTGGGCAGGTGAACCGAGTAGATCCTCCCAGGTCCCTGCAGGTGCAGCCAGGGAGCAGGTTGGGCAGCATCTTGGCATCAGGAGTAATCACACACCTGAAATCGTATATAGGCCTAGAGCTGCTGCAGAGATCAACATACAGAAGGACTCCGGTTGGGGCTGTTATATTGATGTAGGCTGCTCTTGTTAAAATAGAAGATTATCCTAATTTAGTTGACCAAACATACCATAAAGGCACATGGTGTGTAAAGCCATAGCCAAATGAGTAACTCACCTCTACTGTAGCGGGTTTGTGGTGCAGTTATGTGGTAAACAAAACAAATTGAAAAAGTATGAAAGGTTTTATAAACAGATGCATAAAAACATTGTGCATAAAACGGTATAAATTTCAAGTAAGATTAAAAAAGTGCAAAATAATGTATTTAAGTCATTAATGCTAGTCAGTCAACATCAACAGTCATCATTTTAGAAACTAATGGCTCAGTCCTGGAGCATTTTCAGTTCTACAGGTTTCAGTATGCTATGTGGAAATCATAATGTTGCAGAGCCAGTAAGCCTTAGTCTGTGCATAATGTCAAGCTGGATGCGGTATACAAAGCCCTGCAAAGCATGTGTCCTTTACACCGTACTCTTCATATCAATGACTATGGAGTAGCTGACCAGGTGAGCATAGTCATTACTGTCTTTCTCCATCACCTCAGGAGAGCCGGGCTCCTTCATCAGAGTTGTCAGGGCCGAACGGGACTCCTGCTTCTGAATTATAGAGTGTGTAACAAAAAGAGACAAGAAAGAAACTGGTTCAGACTATATAGTATTTTGGTTTCAGATTTGCAAAACCAAAATCAGAGAAGCCATGAAAATTTTAAATGAAAGAAGTAAACATGCATGTTAGCAGGATTTAAACGCACCTTATATTGTGTACTGCTGTTTCCTTTCCTGTAAAAAAATACAAAAAGGTTGTAATAACCAGGTCAATAATCATGTTCTGAATTATTATTTTTGAAGAACCTGTAGGGCTGAGCATCCCCACTAGATGGCACTGTGACTTAATCTGTGCCAGTTCAAACAGGCAAAGTTGCAGGTGGAATGCATTAGGCTGGAGGAATATCAGTGGTGAGAATCTTTAGCGCTGATCTCTGATGTCAGAAGCAGCAGCTTACTTTGTACATTATGTCCCCAGTGCCATCAACCCAATGAAGACCTGCTGCTGTCACAAAAGTGTCCCCAGCACAGGATGGGACGGTAAGGGGATTTGAGGTCAGTCCCAGAATAGCTTTTCTCTTGGGGACTCATGTTTTCTTGTTGTACACTGTGTGAGTGACCTTCCCAAATTAGCTTGGCAGGACCCACCCACTGGAGCAAGGGATAATGGGGCAGAGGTTCTGTCAACCAGTGGCACCTTGACCAAATGTTTTGACCACTGCGGCAGGCCTATTGAAATAGCCTCTGAACCACTGTCATGCTGCACAGTGCAGCTTTATTCGCAGCAAGGCCTAATCTGATCCTGAGAAACTTGAGAAAAATTAAGATTTGGCACTGCATGTGGAAATGTGGAAACATCTGCAGGCAGATACCATAAACAGTCCTAGGATCGTGACATACATCCCACATCAGTCGTAAAAGATGAGT